ACCCTGATCACTTTGGTATATATAACCCTATATCTGACTCTTTTAGTTTTAGGACTTACAAACAACCGTTATGTGAACAAAACTATAATACTCTCCTTAGCAACTTTGTTGCGAGATTATAATGACAGAGCGTGTGTTATTGACAACAGCTAATCTTTGCGCTTAAAATCGGGCGAAAATTTTACGTAACCCCCAGATAACTAACACATAATATTCGGTTGACTTCCCTCCATATGGTTGATGATGGAATGTAAGACCCCTTAAAATCTGAGGGAACATTTTATTGGTGTGTGGTATGTTAAAAGTGTGTAGTATTGGCAAAAATAGATAAAATCGGTTGGATTGGGAGAAAAATGATATGTAGTTACTACCCCCAACTCCCATAAACTAGATACATACGTGTCGTTATTCTAACAAACCCTTTGTCGAATATGTCGGATGTCGGTCAGTGTTTAACTCATACACACATTATACTATATATATTTATATATATAGAGTTGAACTTCCATTACGTGAGCTTCTGTAACTTAAAGTTCTCCATAACTCGAACCTTTTTTCTCATTTCTTATTTATTTCCTCTTTCACTTTTATTTTCTTCTTTCTCAACAATTTCATCAATTCAATTTGGTTCATATTTTCAACTATTCCAAATATGGGTCAATGGCTGCAAACTCCTCTCGTGCCACTGAGCTGCTCCGCTCACTCCGCCACCAAATCAAATAGTCATAATGCATTAATAATGTAGCGACACCTACAGTTAAACTGGAGAGTGTATTGAAGCATTTTGTCCACTGCCACGAACACTACACTACCACACTGGCAGCTCGGCAAACACATGCAAGTTTAATGCGAATTTTCACACCTCAAAAAGGCAAAGCAGAAAGTGAAAAGTTTTACAGTGTAAAAGTTGTCAATTCTTTATTATTATTTTTATTTCTTCATGCCGCTTTGGGTGTATATACATAACTATGTATGTATATTTATAAATATATGTTTATTTTTATATATTTTTGTTGCCTGAATCGACGGCTGTTGACTCGCCGTTTCGTTGAAATGAAAAATTGCTCAATTCAGCATATATGTATGTATACCTCGCTTCTATACTTATATGTCGGTATGTCTTTTCGATTGGGGTATCGTTTCAGGCATATCATGATGTCGCTACCTACAAACATTCAATATCATTATATATAACTTCATCACTGTCAACACCAATATCAGCAACAACATAATAATCACCTTCATATATTTGCTGTTGGCATGCCAGCAGCACCAAGAACCATCCGCACAATTGCCGCTGACCAACAAACTTCCTCTCCCACTCCTCCTTCCTTTGCACTGCGGCTGCGCCCATGGCATGGCACGTTGCTGCAGTTAGTTTTTATGTTACTGCCAGTTGGTTACCGGACAGTAGTGCCTCTGAATTTTGGCGGTATGTACCCTTAAGTTTGACGCACAGGTGCCAGCACGCGATAGATATGTGGGTGTGTGTGTTTGTGTTGGTGTTTTGATGTTTATTTGTGGAATTTCGCGAATTTTTAGCATTGCAACTGAGTTGTTTTTGTTATTTCTTTATGCGGTATACTTTTATACTTTTCTTTATTACTCTCTTGCGGTTGGCGTTGAGCAAGTTGTTGCGCCTTCGCTTTTATTGATTTTATTGGCGGCTACTCAGATAGCATTTTTGTGAAACCCAATTGCAACAGTCTGCGGTCGCTTATTAGTAATTTTGCTTATCGGCAGACGATTTCACATATTTGCCATATACATTTCTGGATATATACATATACACATACATAGCAGTCTTCACTTCTTACCTGGTTTTTGCAAGCTATGTTTTCCGCACTGTTTTCTGCGAAACTGCTTTATGAGCTTTTTAAATTTTTATTTTTATTGCTTTTATTTGCCAATTTCATTTAATATTTTGTTGTTGCATGCTGTCTGCTGCCTGCTGCTTTATTTTCACGCTCAATTTAATTGAGCGCGTCATCAATTAGCACATGCAACTGGCTATTTTAATCGAGTTAGCTTAAGTGGCAGTGTTCCGCGAATTTTAAACAATAAAAAATTATATAAATTATATGAGCAATTACCAAGAATTCAGACATATAATACTTGAAATTCAGAAATGTTAAAGCTACTATTGAGAATAATTATCAAGTCAAATTAGACTTGTTGGGAGAACTTAGTAGGATTATTGGCTTTGACTACTCCAAAAATAACTATGAAGAGTCTGTAAGATGTGACCAAAAGTATATTTACTCTCTATTTTCTAAAAATAAGTGGAAAATATTAAGCAGATCTTATGCTTCAAACACATTTCCGAAGAGTAAAAAATTATTATATATATACATATATACTCTGGATACTATAACCCCACGCCAACTCCATCGTCCATTTTTGAACCATCCGTATAAATGTTAAGAGTGTTGCACATAGCCAACCATATTTTTCCATATTTCCTTTGAACCTTCTTTCCCAGTTAAAAAGTGGAATCATGTAGTCGGTGTTGGCCGAATCGCCGATTTTTCTGCGCAGTTTTCGTCGAAGAGGTCTAAATGTGTCAGGTTTAGTACCGGTTTAAGAGCTGCCGTTGGAGTTGTTCTTAAAGTTCTCGTTATGCATAGAGTAGCGAGACTCTGCGCATTTTACTTTGGGTTCCGTTAGATGGCTTTCCGTACTACCATACTACTGCACAGTGGAACAGAATTGGAATCTTAAGGTTGTGCCGGGCATCTGCCTACACGCATAGAATTATTGCTAGGTATTCTCTTCTTTCTTCCACGGCAGTTTGCTGTTCAAGACTACCCCAAGTTACGGTCCTTGAGATCGAGTTCTGTCTCATTTACCGCAGAAAGCCTCCATGGGTATTTCATTCCACCATCGTTACATTCTGCTCTTATTCGTCAAGAAGTCAAAAGGCTTCTGATCCAGCAGCAAAACCCATTGACTGGATACCATTCAGAATAGATTCCGTAGAGAGTTTGTTGAACGCTTTAGAAATGGCCAGGAATGCTCCAAGTTCGTTTTTTCTTATACTCAAAAGCCCTTTCGATGTGAAATACCAGTATTTGGAGTACAGTCTGTATTGATCTGCCGTTCGTATATGCTTGCTGCGCCTTGGACAACCTTTAATGAGGCGCTGCGGCTTTAATGTATACGTCCAAGATTTTCTCTAGCGTTTACAGCGGCTTATAAAACAAAAACGAATCACTGTCCTTACTATCGCGAACAATATACAATATACCATTTCCAACAGGCTATGTACTCTGTACTCTGAGATAATACAATTTTCTAAGTCTCATGTAACCAAAATAAAAAAAAAATTATTAACTTTTTCTAATCCCTCTTTTCAATAAACAATTTTCTTATAAGATTGTATTGCCGGTTGATCGATAATATACACTTTATATTGAGAAAGGGCTAAAATAATTATTTGTAGGGAACTATAATATCTACTTGAAATCGCCAATGATGTATTTAAAACTTCAAAATTTGGGTTCTTTTAGAATTTCAAAACACACAAACTTAAGAGCAATTAAGCATTCACTTTTACTTCGACTTTTCATTAGAAAAATCAGATCTAAACGATTCAGAACAAATCAGAGTGGTTTTGTCCATATGTACTTTATTCTTGTGTAGACACATATTAAAAGAAGACTTTGATTTTAAGCCGAGCATAACAAAACATTAGAGTATTTTAAGCGCGTCACGATTTTTTGAAATGTATAAGAAAATTTTGGAAATTCTATTATCAGTAATATCTTAGAACACTCTCTGTCTTAAGATTTCGAAAATGTTAAGACTTTTTAATACACGTTTCTGTAACGAACCTCATATTTTTATAAAAGATTCCTAAATTAAGGATTATATTTCAGCAAGTTTTAGTTGAAAGTAATTAAAGTTTGTGTCTTTCCATAAAGGAGAAGAATGAGTGCAAAACAAGATGGCCACTGATCCTGATTTTCACGAGATATTTCTAAAGGTTGCATGGGTACGTTAATAAATGAAATTGTCGCATATAGTGTGATAATACTCTACAAGCCATTGTTGAAACGCCATTATATTCCCATCTAACGAACGAGCGGCTGGTAAGTTGTCTCCGAACACCTGGAGAGTCAGGACAAACATTTTCGACCGACGTGATCCTGTGAGTGGTGCAAGCCGAAAATGCAGCGTTCGTTAGGGCAAAAGTACGCGATTAAATTCTGTTTGAAACTCGGTAAATCTGCGACACAGACGTTTGATATGAACAAGCAGGCTTACCCAGATGTTGCTTTAGCAAGAAGTGGTGTGTTTTGGTGGAACCAGGTATTTTTGGAGGGTCGGGAGTAGGTCGCTTATGAAGTCCGTATTGGGAGATGCATCCAAAGTGAGTGCTAATTGTCTATTTTGACATCAAAAGCATCGTTCACCACGAATTTGTTTCTCCTGGACAAACCGTCAACGCCAAGCTTTACGTGGAAGTCCTCAAGAGAATCAAACTATGGGTCAATCGGATCCAAAAAGACATAGTAGCCTTTCCCCCATATGTGGCCCCCTGGACTTTTATGTTTCCTTGCCAGAAAAATCCGATGAAAGGCAAGCATGATGAGACGACAGAGCGGATCCAAGCAGCGTGCACCTCAGATCTCAGATATCAAGGCTATTACGGAGAATGCCCTCCGTGACGCCTTCAATGCTTGGAAATCGCGCTGACAGCTTGAAAGTTTTTAAGGAATTGTAACGATTTGTTCAATATTTTCTTTTTTTTTTTTTAATGACTCAGTCCTATTATTTTCCATACAAACCGAGTCTCTTTTCAAAGATCGTTGTTTCCTTTTTATTGGGGGCGTACGTAGCGAGTCCCAAACCCAGCGCTCAACCCTGGCGAGGGTTGGTTCGCCTTCTCTCCTTAGCCGCCTGGGATCATGGTGTAAGACCGGAAGTTGTGAGCTGTGTGAGTTATAAAAAAGGTCGCTTTTGACCACTCCCAAGTGAATGGCGCTCAGAAAACTTTCCTTACTTGCGTGAACTTCTACACATAACTTTATTAATTAAGCCCAAGGCCTGAACGATTGCAAATCTGGACCTTACAAAATAAATTTTTTTTCAATTTTGTATTATAATTTTCGGTTTCGCTAAAAATCTTCGCTTCCCTACTTAAGTTTTATTTTCCCTTTTACGCTTTTCAACAATTGTTTTGGTTTCGATTTCAAAACCATGTCATTGCTACCGCATGTTTTTGTTGCACTTAAACGAATTCATTGCTAATGGCCATTTAATTAGCCGCAACTAATTCGCATTCGGTTTTAAAAGCTTTGCAACGATTTTGTGGCTTCGTTTAATAGGTTTAGATGTACTTAAGTACTAATGTTTAAATATATGTTTGTTGTATGTGTGTAAACACAACTCAACAGTTGTGCATTGCAACATTGTTTGGGAGCCGCCTCATCAAATTGTGCCTTAGCCGCCTACTTCGGCACAAACAGCCAGCCTTCTCTGCTCGCCGTCTTGCTTTATTTAGTAAGCTTGACCAAGTCGAGCGCTATGTGGAGAGCCAGCGGGCAGATTGTAGCGGAGTATGTGCATGTATTTGTTTTGAATTGTTGTTGGGCACTTTGTTGTTATTTGTTTGTTGGGTCATTCGGCCATTTGTTGATTGAGCATTGATGAGCACACACATACGTATGTATGAACATACAAACAAAATTGTTTTGATCCGCTGTTAAGCATTTGATTTATGCTTGTTCGATTTGTGATTACACAAACACACACACAATTACATGCATGCATACACATGCAAGCGGCTTTCTTTGTATTTAACCGCATTTCATGATGGGTCTTATTGATTTCATCTCATCGCCGCTTTGTGGAACCAACAGCTGTGACTTCAGTACACACACAAACACATTTACATAAAGGCCGCTACTGAATTTATTTGAAAGTTTGTAAACCATCAGCCAAGCTGCGCTTATATTTGCCAGTAACTTACTCGCTTGATTGCCTTGTCGTTTGCTCGAGTGAAATGCTGCGGGTGTTCGGGCGACCGTCTCTAAAAGGCTTATGTGTCACATAAGTAACGGAATGTGTGTTGCTTTCGCAGGAATGCCGCAGGTTGTTGTTTGAAGCAGTGTTGTCAATATGCAGCACGCGTTTGCACCAAACACATACAAACATACACACGCACGCGGTGTGCTGGACTTGCGCTGCTGGTGGAAACATCCAAAAGCGTTTAAATGCTCATCTTTACGGCCTGCAATTGCTGCGTAATTTATAGAGTTGTTAGGCGAAAGTTGTGTGACTTCATCAAATGAAAGCTTCTTAGCTTGCAACTGGAAAATGGTGCAAGTCGCTGTTGCGGCTATTATGGCGAACGATGTAGTGTTATGGTGACGTTGAACATTTACGCAATATTTGCGCATTTTTCATTGAAAAGAAACAATCGAATTCGATAAGATTGAAAATTTGTACGGACAGATTTCCAGCGCTGAAAATACTTCATTAATTTTTTATTTTTTATTTAACTTTATTTCACTTGGGCTTTGGGAGTTTTTCTTGCGGGATCCCACTCATCCCGCACACCAACGATAATGCGGTTCCGCGCTACATCAGCAAATAATTTTGCGCCCTCGCGACCTTTTTCTTCGGCCTTATGCTGACAACTGACGACTTAGACTTTCCATCTGAACTCTGTTAGCGGCTCAAGAATGAAATTGAATAAATCGGCTTTAGGCTAATTAATGATTTCTTGGCGCTCCTGTTTGAGCTCCTCATTGGTAAGCGGTTGCAGCTGCGTCCTTCTCAGCAAGTAGGAACACGAACATTACTTGACAGTCGTACTACTAATAGAAGCATTTTTGACATCTGGCTCCCTTCCTACTTAGCAGTCACAGCCTTTTCTATAGGGTTTGTTTCCAACTGGCGCTGGTATTTTGCCTTCCTGTAACAAGGCTTAGTGTCAACTTCCTTGATAGTGTCAGCCCTTGAACTTCGACCAAGCTGCGCTTCTGCCTTTATTTTGTCCCTTTTCGAGCTCGTTGCTATTTTCTTGAAACAACTGGTTCCCTTAAGTTTTTTTACGGGAGATCCAAATTCATTTATGATTTCTTAGGGAATATGAAAGGGGCAAGAGTTAGTGACGGATAGAGAGGGAGGGAGGGAGCAGGATAGAAAAAGCGAATATAGAAATATCGGGATAGAGCGAGATAGAGAGGGATAAGAAATCCCTTAAAATTAAAGGTAATTTATGAGCATTAGAATTCTGATCAAAAAATATGTATAACGATTTTTTTACATTTGAAAAAATGTAAATGAACTATATCAGAAATTACTGTTTAAGTATAAGCTAAACTGTTATATTCGGGATCCCGAAATATCAATCCCGAGTTTGTTTGATTCATACGTTTGAAAATCGTAATATTGTTTAATTTCCAAAAAAATCGATTGAGGACAAAACTAATCTGAATTAAATTCGGGATCCCGAAAAATCAATCCCGATTTTTTTGAATAATGCATTAGAAAATAATACTTATATCTTTCAATAGAAGAACTGTTTAAAAACAAAACTCAGCTAAATTAAAATTTCGGGATCCCGAAATATCAATCTCGAGTTTTTTATTTAATTATTTTGCATTTGAAAATACATGTATGGATGCAATATTAAACAAAAGATAGCTAAACTTTCAGAATCTCAAGTTTTTGTCAAGTCTCTTTGCAGTTTGTTATTCTCTAGTTGGTTTTGGGAGACAGACTAGTTATCTATTTGCTTAAATTCTACAGTTTTTACCGCTATGCGGAAACGCAGGTGGCGCCAGTGTAATAATGAAATCTTAATCAATTCCGATTATTATTTTCACATTTCTTGTTTAGCAATTTTTGTATAATATATAAAATAAAAAGTGTAATTAGTAGCTTCACTTTTTCTTAGTACGTTACATAGCAGTTATCTGAGCCTTCGCATGCCAACCGCAATTACAAGTTCTTACACATATTGACTTAATGTAATTTTTCCCTACATTTTATAACTTCCATCGGAAGTGTGATTACGAGCTTCCTACTAATAACAGCGATTTTCCACGCCTATCCATTAGAACTAGGAGTTCCATATTTTCCTGACAGTAAAAAAATATTTTCGTGCGCAAGAAGTTGGTATATCCATATGTACACATGTACATATGTATGTATGGATGTGTATATGCAAGAATATATAAATTTCTTTGTATGTGTAAACCTGGCATAAGTTCAATCACCATATCGAACAACAAAAACAGCCGCAGCGAACGACACTACCGGACGCCACGGCGCTCATTAGTCGCAAGAATTTATGGCATGTCGCGCAATCTGGCAAGCGCGCAGGTACACTTGACTAACCAATACAAATACATGTATAGTATGTATACACACAGGCACTAACAGAAAGAACGACCAAGCGATTTCCGTTGCATTCACTTGAGCAATCGCTAGTTATATGAATGTGAGTATGTATGTGAATATATCTGGTGTGGCATACAGTGCTACTTGCGCCTATACTTCACGGGTTTTGTTTGTTTTTGTACTGCTTTGTTAAAACAACACACAATGCCCTTATTGCATATAAATTCTTACACCAAACTGGTGCAATGCTCATAGTTACCGTCTCATCTAACGAGTGCGTGCAAGCGAGAGGGCGTACGCGGAAGATCACAGTGAAGCGCCTCTGCTCTAGTGACAAGTTCATGTTGACAGCTACTGTCATTAGAACTGTCATTATCGTGCAACCGGCTAAATGTACTATAAACAAGCTGAGTGTCTGACCTATGATAGATATAGAAATTTTGTATTCTTTATTTATTTGCTCCACTAAACCCTTGCAACGTGTGAGTCTTATGGTAGCAAGGACTAATTGTTCAGATTTATTGCACATTGCAACAGTGTGAAATGAACATAAATAATGATTAAGGCATATTTGTTGGCATTAAGGCTTAACAAGTATTTATCTTATTTTATATTTGTATTTGAACACACATAATTCCA